CGTGATTTCATGTTTGCACGAATTTGAGTTCATTTGTCATAGAAAAATTTTAAATTTGAAAAATAATATATCTATTGCACACTTATAATACTATGCATTTTAATTCTCGAGATTCTAAAAATCTTTCGTATAATTTATATTGTATATTTACTAAATGAATATTAAACAAATTTTTGCGCAGTAATAAAAATTCAAAGTTTAATTTGCCATTTTATTGAGCATATTTATTTGTAGAGGCAAAGAAGAAGAAAAATATGATTGAGGTCAAAGGTAAAAGTGATGAATCGTTTGCAAATTCAGAATACGGATTTTCACTTGACAATGAGAACACGTTGGAGATGATATGCAGTGAAAATGCTTCTACTGCTTCTACTTCACTTAGTGCAACACCGACACCTTTTCATTTCACTTCAAATGCACATGAGTTCACGTCAAAATCAGACTTATACTCAGTAAACAATACACAAAACGGTAATGTATTATTTTATTATTCTCTCACTTCATTTTTAAATAACAGATTTTCATTTAATTTGTTTAAAGTATGAAAAATTGAAATATAGTATAAAAGTATAAAAGTCAAAATATATGACTGCTTAAGCTTTAAATGAATTAAATATATCATTGTGCACCAAAAAAATTTTAATGTACTGTACAACTTGAGTAGACTTTGAGTAATCTGAATCCATATAATTCACCCTGAAATCCTCTTATTTATTAATGATTAAAAATACACTATTATTACTGTTATAAATGTTCTAATAACTTTTAAATTTTTAAAATAATATTGATTATTTAAAATGTTTAATAGTTAAATAATGCATTATAATTTAGAGGAAATTCACTGGTTATTATTAGATGGATGCAAAGTTCAACGAAATTTTGGTAGCTGCGCGAGTTCTGACTACAGTTGTGAAGAAGAAGAGGAAACAGAAGAAAATTTGAAAAATAGAACAAATTATACCCAAAGTCTAGAAAATTTTCATTTACAAAATAAAAAAAATTTGGAAAATTTATTACAAAACAGAAATCCATTACTGCCATTACTTCTATTTATTTTACTAGTATTCTTTCTAATAATAACAGTACTACTTACATTTTTTGTACTTCTCAGTACTCGAAAAACTATTACTAACCTTTTGAATACTACATCTGAAATGGGCAGTAATTATAACGAAAGTTTCATTTATTCACAACAATTATGGCAAAATTTGGAAAAGGTTACAATTTTGAAAATAATATTTTTATGATTCATAATTAAGTTTTACTTAGGATAAATACTTTTGAAAATAAAATGAAAATTTGTGTAACTATATTTTTAATAAATAGTATTAAGTTGATTTTTTACGCTTTTATTTTAAAAAATTTGTTCATTTCCTTCAAACAAATTATTTAGTATATTTATTTATTAAAGATTACGATTCAAAAAGTGTCAACTTCAGAATTCAAAAGTGCAGTCTTTGCCATTTTAAAACAAATACAAGAAATGAAATAGTACAGAAATTAATTAATTATACATAAATTTGATACTAAATAGTTCTAATATTAATTCAATATTTATGTAAACAAATTTTGAATATTAGAATTATTGACCATTTTTTTAATTAATCTATTTGGCTTTAAAAAATAAGTATACTTTGTTATCTTTAAATCTCTATGCAATACAGTTCTAATATTCAAAATTTCTTATTAGCACTATTCAAAAATAGTGCTAATAAGTAAGTTTATCAGTATTATCGTTTTCAGAAAAAACTATAACAGGTCAAATGATTTGATCATCATTATTATCATTTTTTTGTCATTAGCGTAAGTGCTATCAGTGTTAAGATTATAGCAGTCAGAAATAAGTCGACTATTAATGGAATCATTTGATGCACAAAAAATCAAAAATAATGTAAAATGGCTATCAGAAAAAGTTCACGTCGCAGGCACCAAAGAAAATGCTGAGCTGATGAAAAAAATTGCTTCTGAAGTAAATTAGTTGTTTCTTTTTTATACTTCAAAATAATTAAAAAGTTGTACTACTTACAGCAAAGCAGATTACTGTAAACATTATTAATCTGTATAATAATTCTTTATTCAAATAAGCATGTGCTAATTTTCAATTTTCTTTATTCAATTAGAAGCATTGCTTTCATACATATTTATTTTAATTAATTCGCAAACTCAAATTTAACTTCAGTATGAATCATATGGATATGATGTGAAAACATACAGCTATAAAGTACTGTTGAATTATCCTAATTATGAGAAGCCAAATCAGATTGAAGTAGAAATGACTGATAAAAGTTGGAAAATGCTAAGTAATGGCTTAGGTGAAAGAGTTGGCCCAAAAGAAGCGCTTGAACAAGTGAGTTATTCAGCTTATCACTGATCGATTTTAACTTAACATTATAAATTTGCTGATTACTTATCGAAAAAAATATGATTTTTGAGATAGTTTTTAATAAAATTAATCATTTTGATGAAATTCAGATTTATTTGAACTGATCGGTTATTTGAATTAATCCGGAAATTGAGAAAATTAAGACTAATTAAATGCTTAATTGGCAATAAATAATTTATTCTAATCAAACGAACCAACTAAGTAAGCGTTTTGAAATGATCTGACATTGAAGCTGAATAGCTAAGAAATTAGGAAAACTAAATCTGATTAAGTACATCTGTACTAAAACTAAGTTTAATAAATAATTAATTAAATACGAACTTATCAGATTTAAAAAATCTCTCAAAATGATCGTTTTCAGTAAAATGACTTGGCACTTTGGAAAAATTCAGACAAATTTGCTTGAAGTATGCACTCTATTATGATGTAGTGATAACAGAATACTGATAAATCTGTACTAATCATCTTTCAATGGCATTATTTGCATAAAAATTCAATATTTCAGCAAAAAGATGCTCGTGGATTATTGTACTGGACGGCTTACTCAGCAAATGGAACAGCACTAGGCCCCGTGGTTTACGTTAATTACGGAATTCAAGATGATTACGTACGACTGGAGAAGGTAATTACACTGTTATTCCAAAACTATCAGCTATTATTATTATGTAAGAAATATAACAAAATTATAATTAGTTTTAAACAAAATTATAATTAGTTTTCTTTAGTTATAAATTTATTTTAATGTTATCAATAACACTCTAAAGTATTTATTTTATCACAGTTTCGTAAAAATTGTTCTAAAATTTACAATTGTTAGTTGAAAATGCAATAAAATGGAAAGAGTTATGTTTCAAAATATTTAGACTTTTAAGACGAAATTCGAAGTTATTTCAAGATCGAGAATTGTATAATATGCTCAGTTAAAGTAAAAGTATAATTAAACTACTCAAAAGATTAAGCTAAAGTCAAAAATTTATTGTTTTGGGTGAATTAATTATTAATAACAAATATAAACAGTGCATTGAAAATATCAAGTAATAGTTCGTGTACTTAAAAATAATTTTAGTTCTAAAATTATAAATTTGCTGATTACTTATTGAAAAAAACATGATTTTTGAGATAGTTTATAATAAAATTAATCATTTTGATGAAATTTAGATTATAATAATTTTAGTTCTAAAATTATTTTTAAGTACACTAACTATTACTTGATATTTGTTAGCTTTATTTGTAAACATTCGAACAAAAATTTTGATCTGTAGTGTTTAGCAATGAAAAAACAATCAAACATTTGTTTAAAAATGCTTCTGATTTTAGTAATTAGTTAAATTTTAATTCGAATTAATAAGATCATTAAACCATAATTTGAGTCAACATCTTACGGAATTATGAAGTAATTTAGCTCGATGGTATTCACCTGAATTAAATTAATTTAGAACTAGGTAGAATAATGATTGAAAGTGAATAAAGCATCAAAAACAAATAATAACTCCAACGTTCTAACCCTAATTTATCCGTTGAATGTCACTGAAGTTAAAAACTTATGAAAAGTAAAGTTTTTAACTGACATTTTATTTTAGCTATAATAAAATGCTAATACTTTTTTAACAATTATTTATTCGTTAACTTAGAAGGCATCATGTTAAAAGTTATCGAATTAAGGCTGAATTTTTGATTTTCAGTAATTAAGTAGTAATTTTTAGCAAGGAATATCCATAAAGGGTAAAATAGTACTGTGTCGTTATGGTGCCTTATTTCGAGGTGATAAGGTACAACTTGCTGTACAACGTGGTGCTATTGGAATGATATTGTACAGTGATCCTTTTGATTACAAAAGTGGAGGAAGCGATGGAAAAGTATGTATAATTTGATCAACCTGATCAATTTGAACAAACTTATCAATCAGGCGTTAGAATTTTGACAATTTTTAACATTTATAATTGGCTTGCAAAATAATCATAATTAATTACGCAAATTAGAACTTGTATTATAAATAACAAATATAAATAGGAACTTGACTGTAACTGAATTTCCTCTTTGAAATATTGAATTATAATCTATACTATAAGTACTTACTGGTTTTGTAGATCGTAATTTTTAGGTATTTCCGCATGAAATTTGGTTGCCAGACTCAGGTGCGCAACGTGGCACATTGTTAAAAACAGATGGCGATCCAGAAACACCCTTAGTACCATCTAGATATTACACATATCGTACGGAAACAGAAGAAACTTTACGCTCACAACATATCTTACCATCAATTCCTGTAATGCCAATTGGTTATAGAGATGCAAAAAAAATAATGGAAAACCTTGATGGACCTGAAGTTCAAGTATAACTTACATATAAGAAAAAATTATCAGATATTGAAACAGTCTAAACAAAAGAAAACGACTCTTTTTCAATTAGAAATATTTTGGTACTAATTTGTTTTGCTAAAATTTTGAATAAATTGAGCAGTACAATAATAGCCGTTTTATTTAGACAATATTTATAATAATTTGCTACTGCCAATAGTATAATAATTTATTCTATGAACAGATCTGGACACTATGAGTAATTATTGTGTCGGCTTCCGATAATCAGAAGTTATCTATTCGATAATGATCACAATATTTTGTTCTGATCATTTATTTGTTACTATCAGTACTATTAAATACATAATACAACCAAACATTCATTTGTTTTATGAAAATTTTTGGTACCTAAGAATGTTCAAAACTGTTTCCAGTCATACGATATTAAATTATCGAAAAATGACTTAATTAAAAACAAAAAAAACTGCTTCCCTCATACGTTGTACATTTTTAGTTTCATGATTGGATAGGTTCTATGAATATCACATATCGTACTCATGGATCAGCAATTTTTCGACTTACTGTGCATTCCACTTTTACGCATCGCGTCGTAAAGAACGTAATAGCCACATTGTTCGGGCGAAATGAGCCTGACCGTTACGTATTGTTCAGTAATCATTATGACGCTTGGGTTAAAGTATGATGTAGTTTTTTTTCGCTTTTTAAAGTACTATCAAATAGTTAGAAAGCAATAGAGGAAATGATAATGATACTGAAATATTATTCATCAGATAGGTAATATGTAAATGTGAGCAATATATTACTTATTATCATAATATTGCTACAGTTATTACTATTATTGTACTACGAAAATAATTATTTTTGTTATTGAAATAGCAGTGAGTTGGAAAGTTCTAATGAATGAATTTTTTGAAGGGAGCGATAGATCCACTGTCAGCTACAGCAACAATGTTAGAAATAGCGCGTGTGCTATCAGAAATTAACCGTTTAACAAACTGGCGTGCACGCCGTACAATAATGTTCTGCTCATGGGATGCTGAAGAATTTGGACTCATTGGTACAGAAAGTATTTCAATTTTTGTTCATTCTCTATTTACATTCTTGTGCACAACAATTTTTTGGAGTAATTAATTTATATGTAAATTGAAATTGCGCATTTGATTTTTACAAGTACAAAGTATTATTTAAATGTGCTCGACGTGATTATCACTATCATTCGTTATTTTTTTAATAACACAAATTATCACAATATCAATACTTATCCAATTTCTCCATTCTTCTGCAGTTTGTTGAAAATCTGTTCACACAGGTAGCACAGAATGGGTGGAAGAACTCATGAAACCACTGCAACAACGAGCAGTTGCCGTGATAAACGTTGATAACATTAGTGGAAATACATCGTTATCAGTTAAAGCTGTACCATTACTTTATCGCGTGATCGTGAACGCTGCTGCCAAGTGATCATTTTGAGAGAAAATAAAATATACTGAAATCCGTTAAAAAAAGGAAAAATTACCATAAAAAAATAGATATTACTGGAAATTCACCACAATATTATATGAAAATCATTTTAAATTCAATGACATCTATGACTATATTACAGTTATATGATTTTACGTTTTACACCATTCATTGCATTCTTTAATACTACTGCACACATAATTATCAAATAAAAATTAACTGCTTTTTTAAAATCCGATATTAATTATGCACTGTTCCCAGTACTTGATTATTATTAATAACAACATAGGGTCAGAAGTCCAAATGTGTTGGAGCACAAAGCAGATCGTAAAACTTTATTAGATTCTTGGAAATTTTATGATCCCAAAGGCCCAATCAGCGGTGATCGTTCAATCCCGAGTATTAGTGTACCTACAAGTGGATCTGATTTTCAGGTATTTTTTCATATAACTTATCATTTTTTGCTTACTTTTTAGATAATAAGCATTTCCACATGAAAATTCAATCAAAACAATGATTAC